CCCCCAGATGATTGAGACTCCAATTCTATTGTTTAAGGGATTCTGTAACATTGTAGATTTTCACCGATACTGCAGAGTTTTTAATTTCATTTTCAAATCTCATTTACTTAAAAGTAAATGCAAATATTGCAGTTACACTCAGAGTCATACCGAACTTACATTTTCCTCAAACTAAATGCTTCCTCTTCAGTGTCTGCACTCCCTGACATTTTGTTTCCTGACCCATTTTCTTTCATTGCACTGTGCTGCTCTTGATAATTTCCTTGCATCTCATCTTAAGAGCCATTAAGTTACAGCGATGATTCAATTCAATACATCATTCAATGACTACCATTTTTATGTATTGTTAAAGTATTAAGTTATACTTTGCAAGTTAGCGTGAGTGCTAATTTGTCCTTTAATTTCTTAGTAATACAGATTTATTGAAATTTATTTCAGTGAAAGTTATTTGGATTGTGTGTATTCTTGACCAGGAATTCCCTGCTTACAGGGGGATTATACATGCTGGGTTTGTGTAAATCACAAAGTTCTGCCTTCACTTTCTCTCCCACTTTCTGAATGTATCAGTAGGTTTCCTACAGTAGGTTTTATTTCTCTTAATGTGTCTAAAACTAGTCAACTTTATACTCTCTGAAATAAAAGAAGTTCCTTTAGTCTTGCTTTTTTGTTTGTCTTAGCACTTTTACTGTAACTCACCACTGGGTCTGTCAGAGTCTGTTCATTTTGTCATTCATGTTGGACTGAGCATGCAACGACCACAACAACTACAGTCAGGCCTTCCTTGGCAGCAGACTTGTCTCTGCCCTCCTTACAACTTGCAAGTGCCCTGTGCACACACTGCATATCTCTGTTTGTGTGTCTAAATGTATGTGTCTGAAGTAGTAATTTATATTGCAAGTCAGTAAGTGTGTGTGTGTAGTTTCACCATATGGAGTATGTCACGTCAAACTTTCCCCTCCTACAGCAGAAAACAGATTGTAAAAATACTGGTTTCAGGTTATGATAAAGAGGATACCAAAAAGACTGTTTCTTCATAACATTAGAGATAGTGTTTAAGCAGCAGGGAGAAAAAGAAAGCATTCAGTACCACAATTCAAAACGAGGATTGCATTATGAAACAGGAAATGCGAAAGAACAAAAAAAAAAAGAACCATAACCAACACAGGCTGCCTGCATTTCTGTACTCCTACTTAGCTGTCCACATTTACATGAAGATGAATCACACTTTCAGGATGTTAGATAATAAAAGTAAATACATTTAAAAAATGACATGTCACTAAAACATTTTTTCAAAGGAAAAAAGTGAGAACTACATCAATACTACTTACAAAAGTGAGGAAAAAATGTCTCGTTGTCTCACTTTTTCCAAACTGCTGCAAACCATCAAGCTCAATCACTGCAAGCTGTTGCTTGTTGAAAAAAAAAAAAGAAAAGAGAAAGAAACACCGCAAGTTCCTCAAAATGAAAATAAAAGCAAGTTGCTTAATCCACCTGAGACACCTAGAATACAGAAAGAAATTTTGTGTGTGAAAGGGGGGGTTTACTGCAAGATTATCACTTACAATGTGGGTGATAGTGCAACACTGTGGTGGGAGGGCTGGGTAGTGGTCAAGAGTGCGGATGTGTGTTACAACTTGCCACCCCAGCTCATCTGGTTTTGCTGTACTTAGTTTAACATCACACTGCGTACTTGCTTAGTATTAGAAATGCTATAAATGTGCATAGCTAGATGAAGCGACTTTCTTAGAAACTGATAAAAAAAAATCTAAACAACTTAAAACCAACATCGACTGTTCAATAAAACATCAAGAACAGTGAGGCAGAAACTAAAGAGTAAGAAAAGGAAGTGTCAGCTGTGATGATAACTATATTCAGCAGTTGTAGGGAGTGCCCCACACACACGCACACTACTCACTCTCTCACTCTTTGTCTCTGTGTCTTTGCTCCTTCCCCGTGTCATCTTCATTTCCTCCTTATATGAGCTGAAAAGCAATATTTGCGATAGTTGACAGCAGGCAAGCGGACACTAGAGGTTGGACTGAGTGCCAATATCTGCTCCGAGAGAAAATATCTAGAGAGGGAAAAAATTTAATAAATGAGTCAGTAGCGTAGTTCAGAGAATGTTGTTAGGTCTATATTTTTGAAATGCGTTAAGAATACATTTGCTATTAAATATCCCAAACGAGCTTCAGAGGACTGTGTAGAGACTACACTGGATGGTTGGCTGAGCGGTGGAGGAACATTTAAATCCAAGGTAATTTCCCTTTCCCTTACAAGAGTTTTGTTTTTATTATTCTTTCATTTGATTGACAAGCTGTCTTTCACTGTGCTGTTCAAGTAGTCGGGATATGAAGAAATTACATTGTTTTCAGAAACTGCTTGCATCATGGCTACTTAACCTAAATAGACCGTAAAATAACTGATTTTTTTATGTGTAGATTGTTGCTTTGTCACATATTCTTTTTTTAAATATTTCCTGTCCGATCTTCCTTTTTCCCCCATTTCTTTACACTCTACTGTACAACTTTTTTTCCTTCAGTATCTCCTTTGACCTTTACCCTTAACATCTTAGGTTGTCTCTGATCTGGTGGGATGTCAGAGGGCGGCGCAGGTGCCTGCCCCCAGGTGTTTGTGGTGGACAGTCAGGCCAGCTACATTAAAATGCCCCCTGAAAGGAAACCAAGGTGGGGGAGTCAGCTCCAAAAGTTTCTTCTCTTGCTGGTGGGACTGGCCATGTTGGGAATAATCGTCGAGGGATTTTTAATCTACAAACTTTACCAAAGGACAGAGGTGAGCACGAGGTCTGTGTGTGATTGCGTACATGTGTGTTGTAAGAGAAGAGAGAAGTGTCAGTGCTTGGACTGACTGGAAATTCCTTCTCTTTAGAATTTCCCTGCTTGCCCCTACGTCATATTGAGACATGTCATTGCAGGGCTAAATGCGTTTCGGTGTGGGTCCTCGTTTGCTCTTTAAGCTATAGGTCGATAGTGACACGTTTTTCAACTGGACTCTTTCTCTAGTTGTACTTCCCTTTATTTGTATCTCAAGCACAAAGCTGCAACATTAACTTCACTTTTTTTAAAGACAGTTTCATAATGCTGTTTATTATTCACCTGCCTCTCACGTGTTATGCCCTCTGTTTGTATATAATATGAACTGCACTTAAAAATCAAACCTAAGATCTCAGGTTTTATTGAAAATATTATTGTTACATTTAGGTTACTATTGAAAAAAATATTGGAGTATGTGGTTTCATACAAAAATAATCTAATGTGTAAAACATTACTTGTATATATACATATATATATATAATGTATTTGCAGAATTTACATTTAGTGTGCATGTGTTTTTCCATACATCTCTAAAGGACACCTTCCCTTATTGCATGAGGTTCCTACATTTTGACAAGCACACAAAGATTTTCACTCAGTATTTGTTGTGTTGTATTTATCTTTCCTTCCCTGTAGGCTTCTTCTTCTAACCATGAGCCTGACCTTAAGAACCGGACAAACCCCAAGCCAGAAAGTCTGGTGGGAGGTACTGAGATGCCCATTCTTAACATGATTCATTGATAATTCATGATCTGCATAGAAGATTGTCTGTGAAGGGAAGCCAGAACAATTAAATCATCATATAATTTAGAGCATTAGACTGCTAACACGTTGAAATTTTGTATTGTTTTTCCCCACAACTTCATCTTAAGAATTTTATGTGTATATTTAAAAATGTTTTTTTACACTGGTTGATCAATTAGTTGATCTGCCCTTGCTTTCTTAAACAGGTAGGAAGATGAGCAGAGATGAGAGGAGACCCTTTGCTCACCTGCTGGGTAAGAGGCTCCCCTCATCACTCAAACATGAACACTGCATATGAGCTCTTCAGATAAATTATGGTCCAAGCAACTGCTTTCTCTCTCTTTATCCAAGGCTCCAATAAGCCGGGGACGAACGATATAGTGCAATGGGCAAAAGAGGGTGACGCAGTCACCCAAGACATGAAGTATGAAAAAGGCCGGCTGACAGTAGAAAAGGAGGGCTACTACTATATCTACTCCAAAGTGATTATGAATGCAGCAGAAGAGTGTTCACTTAGCCAGCACAAAGTCATGAAGGAGACCAAAGCCTATGATAAGCCTATAGAACTTATGCAATCAAAAAGGTACTCTTTCTTTCCTTTCTTTCCTCTCTCCTGTCGTTACTGGTGTGCTTATTTGTGTGTTGCCTGTCTGTAATTTTTATGTTTGTGCTGAGTTGATTTAAACGTGACACCTATCATATTTTTCTTCTAGTATTCATTGCTCAACCTCAAAACCTCATTTGAAGCTTCTAGAGGCTTCAGAAGATTTGTGGAACAGTTACCTGGCTGGGATTTTCCAGCTGCAAGTTGGAGATGAAATTTATGTGACACTGAAGAATATAACGAAGATTCATGGAGGGTCTACTCTTAACTTTATGGGGGCCTTTATGATATATCCCTAGAGACACGTGTGTGCCAGTTTATCTTATTCTATTTACTCAATGTTAATTTTACACCATCTGTTTGGATGATTTCTATGTATAATATATGCACAAAATAGATAATATATGCTGTACCTGGTGTATGTATTTGGATCACCAATGAAGAAATAACATTTTGTTGTTTTATAAAAAAGTATCTGATATTCAGGTTATATAATGCTATTTTTGCAATGTGGTTTCTTGTTTAAAATAAATAATGTTTTTTTCATCAAACAAATTGCAAAGCAGTATCATATCCTGATTATGACACACAACAAGAACAACGAATAAGAAGGTATCTTATAAGTGAAAGAATGAGATGCGGCAGATTTTTTTCTTGTTCACATATAAAACTGTGTGAACACTCATAAAATCATTTGGAAACAGCTTGGATACCTTAAACACACTGTGATGAACCACAGACAACCCACATTACATAGCTGCATATTGAGAGATGCAACAAACACCAATGTCTGCAAGGCACTATATGTGTGTGTGAAGTGCAGGATGTGGTTGAGTAAGGATGCAGTGAGGAGAAAATGGGGGAGGGAGTGGAGTGGAGGTTGGGGGGAGTATCGAGATGCTGGGTCTAGTGTTCCTGACTCAGCTACTTTCACACTTTAGGGGAAAGTTTCACATCACTGAAGCAGTTTCAAGTGGAAAGAAGTAAACCATATAGATCTACATATAAGTCAATGAGGGTTCATTAGCCAAAAATGGCTTCTTCCATGGCAGTAGAGTGGATAGACAGAAAAATGAAAGTGTGTGATGTGGAGTGAGAATAAAACTAAAGCACATGGACTAGTAAAGACAGGTGCAGAGACAGGTAACTAAATCACCACTAAGACAGAGACATAAGTAAGTGGAAAGACTGACCTCAGATACCTTTGAAATATTTGGGTCATTTCCTGCCACAATACACAGATAAGCATCTGTGCAGAGAGGAACAGGCTCAAACCAAGATAGTCTTTGCAAACTTGAGCTCGAAAGCAATGGTTGTACAAACATATCATGTTGCTGATGTTTATTACTTGCAGCGGTGCAATGTGTCCATTGTCTATTTATGTTAGTGCTTTATTTTACATAGTTTTCTTGGGTTTTACACCCTTGTTTTACATACTATTTCAAGTCTCTGTTTTCACTACATTTCTTCAACTTCAACTACATTTCAGAAGCAAGCGTGGCACATTTTGCTTCATTCTACTAACCTGACAAATTTTCTTGTGAACATCATAAGCTTTCAAACACAGCATGTATTCAGGTCATAAAATCTGATGCATTCCTCCTCAACAGTAACAGGATGCATCAATAAAAGGCTGCTTGCACCTTAATGCTTCAGTAGTAACGATCTGTTTGACGTGATAAATGTCCACTGAAAAGGGAATAAGTAATTCCACTTATAGTAAAAGTCTTGTGTTTCATGCACATGCAAATTCACATGCACATTCACAATGCAATACGTTTCAAGGGCTGCACATTCACAGATCTGGTGGTAAGAGCCAGAGATGTGCAAACAGGGACACTGACACACATGAGTCCTGAAAAGCAGCTGCAGCCATACACAATGCAAGGTTTAAAATGAAGAAAGAAAGAAGCTTGACTAGTGTTTTGTGAATCTTCACCTCAGCGAAAGCACTTTTACAGCTCCATTTCAGACTTGTCCCTTGTAAGCAAGTAAAGGGTACGTTGCCATCATGCATCAACTGTATGTAATCTTACAGCTAATCTTGTTTAATGCATATCTTAACAGGTCAAATGTTTGAAAATAATTTTGATAGAGTACTTTTAAGTCAGCAAAATCAGATTTTTTATCCATGTTTGTTGCCAAAAATATTGTCAGTTCCGTTGTTTGGAATTTACTGTAAATTTGGGGTTTTTTCGTTCATTTTTATTTTTAAGGTGAAAAAAGGTCACTTTCTCTTTCAGCTGGCAGGTACATGTTGGTATGTGTTTTCACTGGCAGGAGCTGCCATGCTTTGAGGTGTGTGTGGGTGTTGTGGCACAAGGAGTGACTGACAAAGCATATGAAATTGCACTGTTGCATATGTGTGGGGAAACCAGCACTTAATCATACAGGTATAAGGGCAATTTGATGTGCTGCAACAGAGCTGCTAAAAACTATTCAGCGTGCAAACTTTTCACGAGTTTCTATGTGCGGTGACGGTTATAGTTGGCTAAGAAAGCTGCAGAGAAGTGGTTTACTTTTCAAAATCTGTCTTTTATTTACAATGCTACTGTCCTATCTAACTTGATCTGAATTTAGATAGAACTGAAGTTTATTTGACAGGCTATTGACTATTTGACTGCACTATGAAATAAGGAAAATCACTGAGGAAACAACATGAAGTCAAAAAAGGTAAACTATGCAGCAACTTTTTCCCTTTTGTTTTCAGATTTTGCTCAAAGATAAACAAATAAAAATTTATTAGAAGTAAAGACATTTGTTCTAGAGTAAAAATAAGAGAAGAAAACTATAAAACTACCACAACAACCTGGGACATGTATTACAAACCAAGTTTATCATACCAAAGATTTCTCAGCTGCTAGCACACTAAGTATATGTGGGTGCATATAGCAGAACTCACCAAAGATGGAAACTCCCAAAAAACAGTAATTGTTATAGAAGAAAGAGAGATTAAACAACTTTATGGCCTTTTGCCCTAAGCTTTACAGTTTGTAGAAACACATTACGAGGAGGTTTCTTAACAGAAAGTTTGCAACGCCGCATTTGCCCGCTTGTAGTCCATGAAAGACAGAGCAGGAGTCAAAGAGTTGGCCAATCAGGTTCACCAGGGTTTTTGACTGGTTGCAGGAAGCTGTACCAAAGGTGGAACACCTGCCACTACCTAGTCACCTATTAAGGGTGCAATGCTGGTAGGTGGTGACTTCTCGTGTCCAAAGACACTACTGCAGATGTGCTATAAGTGAACCAAGATTTTTTGAACTTAGCTATACACATTACAGCAGTGTAACAGCACCAAACAAGCCTTGTCCATGTTTGGAAGGCTGGCAGAAAATTGCTAAATGTTAAATAAAAAGTCAATAAAGTTATAAATGTATCTGCCTAATTTTTAAGGTACAGCTATGTACAGCTGTGTGCGCCACTGAATCGTTTAGAGGAATGAACAAAAACAACAAACTTGTGGGCCAGGAAAAAAAAAGAAAAAAAGAGATTAAACCAGCTGTAAACAACTTCAATAAAGATAACGGGAGCTGTAGGTTCACTCGTAACCACTGGTCCCAAAAACAATGCATCACACCAAATGTGTACCTGTAAAAATAAACAACTGATTGAACTTGAAATTTCTTTATTTTTATGTTTCTTTCAGTTTTGAAAATCACTAGTTTAGAAAAGTGAGTCCATATAAGCAAAAAAAGAAAAAAAAAGAAAAACACTGTACCTACATATGCACAAAAACACATGCACTGATAGTGCATGTGTTTTTGTCATATGCAGAAAGTGTACATTCATCTTTAAAAGTAAGGATATGATTAAACTTACTTTGTTTTAGTTCGTTACATTCAGTACTTGCTTTTAGACCAAAACCATCTTTTTATATATATGTACATGTACTAAAGCGTGCTTTTTGCTCTGAGCATTTGTTGGAACCATGAAAATCCTCACTCATTATGACAGCACCAGATGAAATTTTGTTTCACTTGACATCTCCATCTCACGTATATACGGGAGGTGTTTGTTTGGTGGCTTATAGGGTTTTTTTTCTTCACCACACATCATGGTAAATAAACAGGATGTGATGTGCATCCAGTTCCCGGAATGAGGTGTGTAACATTGAGGTAAAATTTGTCACAGTCGCTTTCACATTTTCTTATTTAACACCAAAAAATACTTCATGTCACCACATCCATGTTTTTAATATGGATTACAGAGAAATACATTCAACAATGGGTTCGTCCACAGGACTTAGACATCTTTTAAAAGCAAAACAATTTCTTAGGTTGAGTCTTTACGCTTAATTGTAATTAATAAACAAATAAACTGAATGTTTTAGAAATTCTGGATATGTTTTGATTAACTCTGACTTTTTTTCTGCATAAGTGCACAATCTCACTCATCACTTGGTTACTCATCGCTTCCAAGAACAGATTAACAACAGAAGAACTAAATGCATCCCTGAAAGGTTTTTTTTATTGTGGTTGCAGAAGCCTAATGACAACTTGAAATCTGTATATTGCACATCAATATCAGTGTAGTGACATCTACTGTACATTTAAAAAAAATCCTATACAAAATATAAACATTGCTATAAATAAAAGTTATAAATAAAAGCAACATAAGTACATAAATAATTCCATATCACCAAATAAATATACAGAGAAACATTTTTACATAATTACATACAATGAGGCAAGTTTCTAGTCTCTCCATATTCTCTTTGCATTATCACAAATGCAGCTTTTCTTGAGTCTCATAAGGTTCTTTCTCCTAGAACCTTTGCAAGGAAGCTCGTCATAGCTGTGAAAAACGGCACCCAAGCCTGTCCGTTTTCAACTATGTGGGTTTATGAAAAAACAGACTTCTGTTCTTACTCGTTACAACCCACGTGTCTCGGGTCCATTTACTTCTAGATAACAGCAGTAGCACTCCAGCATGTGCATCTATGGGTCTATGAGGAAAATTCCAAATCCTGAGCTTTGCAGCTCCAGTTTCCAGTCTTCTAGGCCTTTCTGTACTGTCATCTGAGTGAGCAGTCCCTGGTTTTTTAGTTGAGCAACAGTCCAGCATTTCCTGCTCACAGGTAGTATACCTGCTGGAAGCTCCACTTTGCAGGTAAGTTCATCACCTACTTTCACCGTGAGAACACCCGCGTTGCATGTGGAAGTGCAGGTGAAATTTAGCTCAACATACATGAAGTAGGCTCCATGTTGTACTGGCTCCAGTGAATGCCGCTCTGGGTCGAAGACAAAGTTGCTTCCTACAGATGTCCGTTTACCATATGAGATGGATTTCCATAGCATGGTGGAGTTTTCCAACTCTGCAAGAGTAGACAATTACATTTATTTTAGTTTTTGTTTACACAAGATAATATCAGATTTCCCGGTTACACTTATAGATTTGCTAAGACTTGTAACCCCATTTGTTGTAATGCAAAATAGGGTTTTTATTTTTCTCAAAAACTTAAATGTACACTTTTCATATAAACAGCAAACAGTAAAAGACTAACAATAACGTTAAACCACGAGGTCATTATTTTCTGCCTACTCTAAATCTTTTGCAAAAAAATGTTATAACTTCCGTTTTTTCTGTAGATTCAAAAGACTTTATGTTACATGGCTTTATATATTTGGAAAATCAGTAAAAGACTTACTTGAGTTGGCGGCTTGTAAATAGGAAAATTTCTCCATCTGTTGGCAAAACAGTAAAGAATTTGTGAATCAAAATGGATAAATGTAAGAAAAGAAACGATATAAAGTAAAAGGTTATACAAACTTTCTGAACAAAATGATAATAATTAATTACCTTATATGCTGGGGAAGATGCGTCTCCCGTCTGCTTCTGCGGCGTCCCAACTGATGGGGGCGAACTCAAG